TGGAGTCCAATATGTGCGTGAATTATTGATTTTGCTGGAGTGTTGAGCACCGATTTCTTCATTATCGTTTTTTGGTAACGCTAGTGCCATCTCACCAAGTCAGTAGAATGCTCAGTGAGATTTCAATCAGACATATTTTCGCAATGGCCGAAATGGTTGCTAGTTTACCGTGTACCGATATAAGGAGTGTCTAAGCAGTGGTTAATATTTCAATTTTCTGGCTTGCCATGAACTGATACCTTGTGCAATGTGACTACTCTCAACTTGGTAGGTAGATAGTCTCTATCCCCTGGCTATATCGATCAGCCCAGCAGCCAAATAAAGCATTTTCATCTTTTGTTTCATGTTTGTTTTGGTTTGAGCTGCAGGCTAACAGATATCCAAACCTAGTTTCCCAGTTTCTATTGCATGTCAAAATGTTCGCTTCGCCGCCATGTAGAATCACGATAAACCTGAATTTCTCCGCTGGTTGTCGGGTAGGTCTGCCAACGCCCACGTTCATAGTGGCTTCTGGGGCAGTCAACGAACAGGTCGACTGTTTGATAAGAAATCGGGGGGTGGGGTGAGAGTGTGTTGAAATCCGGTTAAACTTGGTGATATTTATAACAGCCGCCTTTTACAAACAATTTCACCGACCCTTTCTGCGACTGCGCTGCATGGAAACAGTTTCGAAAACCGATCCCAGTGCTCAATTTGCGCGTTCTTCCGGGAAAATTTACATACGCAATGTTGCCTTCATGGTGAGAGCTGACTCGACTAATTTTCTACTCAGCTTTTTGATCGAACACGTGAATGTTGTGGTATGTTGCGGAGGTTGCTGCTTTGCATAATATTAAAAATGTCTGACACGTTTGAACAGCTTCAGTGACATGGTGCATTTTTTGGCTTTCCCCTTGGATAAGACGTATGAAAGCAAGTATAAGGGGCATTGTGTTCGCGTCTAAAGCAAACAAGCAACCAAAGCCAAAATCAGGTATAATTGTACCAAAATCCGTATATCATTGGCGGTTTTACGTTAGATGATTTATTTAAGCCGATCGTTATGCTACGATCAGTAATGTGGTAAACCCTAGCTGTTCCAATATGTGCAATTTTTGTGAGATCAGGTAATACTATTCACTTTTAAGTATCCCTTCCATGTAATTCTCAACGCCACCACGGCAGAAAATGCTTTGCATGGTGATACGATCCTTGCGAATAGCTGTTGTTGTTGTTGTTGTTGTTGTTGTTGTTGTTGTTGTTGTTGCGATTTTCATCATATTTTCGTTTTCAACTGTCGTGCATAATGCATCATCACTCACCATCCCGAATTTACTTATCAAAACTTTGATGCAGTCTATAGAGGGCAGTTGAGCAATGTCACCCGACGCCCCCTCTATTTTTGTCTTAGTTTGAACCACACTAAAACCAAACCCCTTGCTTCGTGCTGCTGAAAAGAGACAGGGTTGTCTGTAAACAGAACGCGCACAGGTTCTTCTCCTCCGACAGCGGCGCGAACCTTCATTGAAAATTACTGGACTCGGGTTGGACGCGTTGGAGTCCAGATGGAGAAGGCCAGCAAGCGTAAGGCACGACCTATGTTTCCCCGTGGTCAACGTAGACATTGAAACACTGTGGTCAGGTATGCGCCACAATCCAACCCTGACCGAGTTGTTTGGCAGAAGTAGCTTCATGCATGGATATGGTTAAAGTCGTTTGTATGAGAACAATGTATATTTGATCTTTACTTTTCCTAGAAGCTAATTTCACGAGGTTGCTTAACAGAAACTGCCCTCTACCGGTTTGCTGAATGTAGAGTTAGGCCACCTGAACTAAGGTAAACTCGCCGGTGAAAGCGCAAAAGTGTTGCTGCTCACTGTGTAACTGTTGGCTCGGGGGGGGGGGGTTGTAGTTGGTAGGCACGTTTTTTATCATTCCCCACCTAAGGGCTGTAAGTTGGAATTTTCCTATTCATTATCAAGTGGATATTTGCAAGATACAGCAACTAGGAGTATTGATGACATCTACATTCATTCATACAACGTGGTGAGGAGTAGTATTTCGAAGTTTGCTCGTTAAGAAGCGATTGTGGTCACCATACTGTCATGTGGCTACAGTTTGAAGGTTACCTTCTTACCAAATCGTTAATCGCCGAGGAATGATGGATACCCGAACCGAAAACCAGCTCAACTAATTAATCTGTAGCATGTAACCATTGTTGGTTTGCATTGCTAACAAGTAAACGACGTGAAGTGATCGAAATTTTGTTCAGGCTATGGTTTATGTAGCACAAGCTGGCAATGCTAAGCAAGGGAAAACAGTGTAAACTTACCACTTCTCTTTGGAAATATACCCGCTCATATATACTTGTAAGAAACCAGTTAATAACACCAACTAAGGTTGTCATCTATCCAAATTCTCATGCTGCTCTCCAACAAACTTAGCCCATCCACCATAAAGCGTTAAATGCGTGCAGTCAGTATTGTCTGGTGACTTGTAAAGTACTCCACAGATGACCGGATAGTTTTTCATCGCACATGAACTGGATAACAATTAAAAAGGTACTACGCTTTCGATTAGCTCTAGTCACAAAGCCATGAACATAAGTTCTATGAACGAATCCATCAGTGTGTCCTTAATGTCAGAGTTCGAAGCTTTTTATCGGACCCCATGGAAGTCAATGGTGGTGTGCCGGAAGGCTCAGTTTTAGGTTCACGTCTGTTTTTAGTGGTTAATAATGACTTAGCACATGCAGTCGCTTCAAACTTCCTAATGTTTGCTGCTAACATCAAGATTTGGTGAGGGATTCAGGTGAATGCTGATCAGCACCTTCTTCCGAGTGACCTAGACACGGTACATCAAAGGTAAACCCAAAACTTACTGCATTTGAACGTGAGTACATGCAAGGAACTCTTTGTATGACATCAGAAAACTACTCATACCGATTCGGAACGAATGTACTGCAATCATCAACTGTCGAACTCAAATTACGTGTGCTGCTTCAAGATGACGTGCGTTGCTCCTGGCAACCAGAAAAGGCATCAAAGACTGGAAACCAACACGTCAGGCTGTTGCGACGGGAGTTCGGACAAATAGATAGCTCAAGTTTTCGACAAACGTTCAGCGCGTATGTTCGCGCCCATGTCGAATACGCAATTCAGGCCTTGCATCTATGGTTAAAACACGACTTAACTCACTGGAGCAGCCACAATGTCGGGCATCTAAGAGCGTAATTTGAATATGTAATCTTTCATATGATGACGGGCAGAAACGATTGACGGTATTCAGCGGACGGTATTGGGATCACGAGACGACCTTATTACGGCATACTTGATTCTGCACCATCCCACATCATGTGTGCCGCTTCTTACTACAACTCAGCAGCAATAAAACCGGAGGGTCACTCATTGAAACTTGTAGTATCGCCGTCTGGGGTGTCGCTGGAATTTCTTTTCCCTGTGGCTTTTGTGAGTAGTGTACTGTTAGTAGAAAGTAGAAGCCACGATTAAAGTTCGCACGATAATCTACCTCGACGGGAAATCGAACCCCGGACTCACGGATCACCGTCCGCTGCTCTACCACTGAGCTACCGAGGGCTAACGATCAGGTGCGCAATTTAATACAGGATTTCTGCTTGGTTTGCGACGCCTTGCCAATGAGCTCACAGTATTTGTCCTGGTGTTGCAGATTGGCTCATTCAGTCCGCACTTCCCAAGGAACCGAAGTACCAGTCCTTCTGATGTTCAGAGGGCGATGGTAAGTTACTTGTGGATTTTGTGAGTAGTGTACTGTTCGCAGAAAGTAGTAGCCACGAGTAAACTTGCACAATAATCTGCCTCGACGGGGAATAGAACCCCGGACCCACGGATTACCGTGGGTGTATGTCACCCGTGAAATGCTCTCCCAGCATTGGTCGTATTTGCAACGGCACTTACAATATTTAAAATACGGTTAGATGACGCACTCATGCACTTATGTTACTTAGTGCCACTCACGGAGTGTACCTCGGATTTAGTTGAGGTTAACTGTGGGTGCTGTGAATAAACACGGATAGCAGAACTACAGTGGAGCAAACCATAATTCCTTCATTTCATTCTTAACATACTGTTTTATGTTTATTATTACCATTAGCATTTGTATCTTGATATCCCAAACAACTATAAAAGCGACTTGTAACGCAGCGCTTCTTAACCCGTCTAAATTCATTGTCCATTGTTCACGCATCCATTTGAAATCCGGCTGCTCTAATCTATTGAGGTCCCTCTAGCATTCCCCGTATTTCACTGTCACGAACAAGTGAGACTCTGACACATCCGCTGTAACCCATTCTGTGCTGCAGGAAATGCCCAGTTCATCATCCACTTCCTATTTAGGTCTTCAATGTGGTCGTTCTCATGGTTACTGTCTTACCCGAGTGGGTGCATTCCGTGTCGCGAGCGAACTCAACTCACATGGTAGAACTAAAGCTAGGACACGCAAGATGATCCGGAAATGACACGAGCTGCGTCCTTTTGTTATGGTTGTGAATCTACGCCTCGGAGCAGTTAACCAGCAAGCGCTTGTTTTAGCTAGCATGCCAAACCGGTTGCCGACTATTTTTATCCGTTCCGAATATCTACATTTTCGCGCTCTAATTTTGTGAGTAACACATCAGCGTACAATCACTGGTCATCGTTCCGTCGAAGCCGGAACTACCTAAACATTCTTTCTGATCGCGTAGTGTCTAGGGAACACTATGGTACAGCGCCATCAGCGTGTCTTCCATCGTAGTTGCAAGCCGCTCGGAGAGGAATGTGGTAAGTACAACTGTCGGTTAATTGTACCACATGTTGCTAGATATGCCAATCAGCAGTATGGGACCTCAGAAATAGAAATGCTAAAACCACCTGATCAAAATTACCAAGACAACGGTCGAATGCAGAACCACTTGAGGATAAAGAGCAGGATAAACATTCAGGAGACAAAATAAAATTCACCACATTGGAGTTGATACTCTACATATCTGGAAAGAAGTAGCAAACTCACTTACGACCAACAAGTCGCATAAATTCGTCACGGGCATCAATGCTATCTTTAAACTGTCCAAGCATGGTGCTAGTCACCGTAGTTGCATTCACCTTCTGAACTCCCCGCATAACCATACACATGTGAGTGGCTTCCACAATGACTCCCACTCCATGTGGCTGAATCGCCTCAGCTAGTGCCACCGCGATCTGTTTAGTCAGCCGCTCCTGCACCTGTAGCCGGCGCGAATACACCTCGACAATACGAGCGAGCTTGCTGAGACCCAATACACGTTTGTTGGGTAGATATCCAATAGAAACACTGCCGACGAATGGGATTAAATGGTGCTCACACATTGAAAACATGTCAATATCTTTGACTACGACAATCTCTTCGTGGTCTTCATCAAAAATGGCTCCGTTCAACATGTCGCTCACGCGTTCTTCATATCCTTTGGTGAAATATAACATGGCTTTTGCAGCCCTTTCCGGAGTTTTTATTAACCCATGTCTGGTAGGATCTTCACCTAGACCCACCAAAATTTGGTAATAAGCTGAAGAAAGCTCTGAAATGCAAGCCATTAATTGTATCTGATTGTCAGGTAGATAAAACACGCTACTCCTGCCTGATCCGGGAGCTGTACCTCTTCGCCCATCCCAAAGGGATAGCTGGCTTTGTCCTCCACTTGGTGGGCCCGCGGATTGTTGTGAAGCTTTCTGTGGGCAAAGATACTGACTACGGCTTTTGTGACATCCTGTTGTTGGCATCAAGCAATTATCATTCTCACTTTTGTCTTTTAAAAGGTGAACCATTATTCTGCTTCCTGGGTCAGACAGACGCGCTTCTGATGACTTATCTCTTCTCTCCACACTATCAGGTCTCTTTGATAAGCGAAGTCGTTGAAGGTTATTTGAACAGTTGTCAATTCCCTTTGATGTTGAGAAATTGATGTGATCAACTTTCAAACTGCTGTGGCTATAAGAGCGAAATTTTTTGAAAGGGTTACTCATGGATGATCGTGCGATGCGAAGCTTTCGCTTGAACACCTGATATCCTTTGAATGATCGCTTCGGAGATTCATGAATAAGGGTAGGCCGAGCTGTGGATTGCATAACTAGGCTGGCTTCCGGGAAAGATTCCGTAGTGTTTGGTAAGTGTAATGACATCATCTCGTTTTCCATCGTATCGGACAAGTTGAGGTGTGCATCTGGATGAAATTGCTCATATTGCTTGGGCATGCTCAAAACATGCGAAACAGAGTACCGTAGCATTGCTGCAGAATATATGCTTATCCAAGGTGTTCTGTTGTCGTTGATCTGAAGGTTACCTTCAAAATATTGTTCGTTGGTACTTCAAACTATAAAAAAGAAGTGAAAGTCTCATAAACTCATTTTACTAAAAATGTGCGGAAAGAACAAATGCAACTCTTTTTCCGGAAGGATAAAAATAACAATCGACTTCGTATCAACTTGTTTTGCGACTAAGTTTCGCTTCCGCCATAAGAGTTTTTTCAGGCAAAGTGAACTGGTGCATAAATTGCTTGACTTTTGTAACAAATTGAGATAACAATTGCTAGAAATAGTTTGATTCCGTGAATAATTGTATTTACAGTTTCAATGGATCAAGGATTTGTTCCAGTAGTACCATAGGTATGGAATTTTCCTGATTAATCAGCGCCACCGAGCATTCACATATAAGGCACTACTGATCTTGCTGCAGATGATCCTAATGACGATAAGTTGACGTTCTTGTCCCAAGCCGATTCCGTTCACCGACGCCTTCCAAACTGGTTGAGTTACGACAGTCCAAAACGTGTCAGATGGCTCCACCGCTGCTATTCTGGTCACGAAGATACTAGCCATGGCGATTCTCACCGCCGAAAAAAAAGCTTTGGCTGAGTACCCGTCCTGCTTCTCTAATGATCCCTACGTTGTCGTAATCGTTTCGGCATCTCGAGGCCAGGGCATGTACCGCTACCACGGAATCTTTCAGTAGGGCTTTTTATTCAGACACTTTTCCGGGGATGCGGAAAGGGCGTCATGTGCTGTTCTTGTGCGTAGTTTGCTCGTTTTTGGCTTACGTATACGTATGCGTAACCATTGCAACAAATATTACATGCGCCATTAGTCGTTCTTTTTCTGATTCGAGCACACTATTGAAGAACGAAGCATTTGACTTATTTGGGAAACGCCTGGCCTGAAGAAGCACTTGCGCCAAAAGTGGAGCGTATACCATAATAGAATACTATCAAAAACCAATTTGTATTCTAAAACTTCTAAAATTATAAATTTCTAGTCAACTACAAGCCTACTGTGGAATATTAACTTATGTATCTATTAGCCTACACAGTACTGCTTGCAGCTCACACAGGGAAAAGTACGATGCTTCTGGAAGACGGTGCTTGGCTTCACAGGAACAACTTCCAACACCAGTAGCAAATATAGGACAGTAAAATATGAACAAGCACCTCTAAACAAATAACAGTGTGATCCGTTTTCTATGGTACTAAGGCATATTTCATTCAGGTTCGTACCATACAGCGGTAGAAAAGAGAGGCATCATTTCTAATATCACAGGACGTCAATGTTTCAAGACTACCACCAGCTTCTCGAATAAGAACCGATGAATATGAATACATTTAATATTCTGTGGTAAGCGTGTGCCGTAGACAGGAGTTCCTCTGTGATCATATTTGTGAACCACATCTTCGGTTTGTTCTTATGGCACAGATGAACTCGGGTTAGGATTGGTAAAGTGAAGGCAAAATCGCTGCACTCATCATACGAAAAGATCGAGTTAGTAGAGGGGGCGGAGTACTCTTGCACTACCGACCTAAACTGCACATCGATGTTATCGATAATCAATACATGCACGATGCTGCTTTTCTTCAGTGTCATCTGCACATGAGATGTGACGACATTTGTTTACTAGCAATAGTTTACTACCCTCCAATGTCCACTCTGGGAATGGAATGCCACCTAGCGTTCGCTCTGAAGCGAGTCCTGACATGGTTATACAATCAGGTATTTCTGGTGGGTAATTTCAACCAGCATACAACCGAAGTCCCGGCTTCTCTCTCTAAGTAATACAAAGCGGACTTGCAAGTTGTAATCGTCGGTGTACCACTGTAAAACCATATCACCACTCACACGCGACTAGGAACGGGCGACGAACCATTTGTATTAGAACTTGTGTTCTGGATGGAGGACCTATTAGTCGGTGCCGTAACCATAGATACACCGCTCGACTGTAGTGGTCATGTGATGCTACTTCGCCCCGACCTCTGTTAAGCGGAATACATCAGCGGGAACATAGAGAAAGCCGAAGTCGTCACCCACTACATCCTGTTTGACCTTCACCAAGCAACAAACTGGTCCTTCCTAGCCGATCAGACTCTTGAAGTCGCTTGAAAAGCATTTGTCATCCAGCTCACCCGGTTAGGGACGAACGCATCGGAAAGCAAAGTCTTTCCCCGAAGCGAGCGAAGTGCTTCCTGAGAAGCCGGATTAGGAAATGCATGACCAAAAAAGAATTCAACCTGGTGCCCTTATAAAGCTTTTCTTATGATCTAAGACTGTGAAACTCATTACTCAAGGGAGACATTGCGTCGAGTCAGTCCGTGAAAACAAACTAAAGCAAGTACAAGATTTAGCAACGAGATTCCCCACCAAGCATGAAGAGCTCCACTAGCACGTCACCGAGCTCCGGAGAGTATGGTGCGGAATCCCGATTCTACGAGCAGCAGATAGTCCGACCAACGCACTTCGTCAACAGTTCATCCGCAATTATCAGTGGATTGTCATTTCACCCACCTTTTGACATAGCTCACGCCTTCCCCAGGGGTATGGCACGTATCTGTCTCTGTAGCGAATGGGATGAGAAAACTGTCCTCTTTGCATGTGCACAGTTCCACTGGCGTGGACGACATAATACTGAAGGCATTAATGATAACTGCCATGAATACGCATTACCGTTATCGCGGTTATTTCAGTGATGGCTTGACCAGACACAGGTTCCTACGACGAGAAAACAAAGAATGGTCACACGTCGTTAAAGGGGTGGCACTCGTGCGGCGACCTGGAAGTACCCTCCAAGAACTCTCTTTCGGGGTACTATGCAAACTTATGGAGCGTATATAGTCTCAAAGACGCTCATGGGATACCGTGTGGGTAACAACACAGCATGGATTCCGCCAAAATTGGTTCTGCGCTATGAACTTGCTGCTGGCCCGGAAAAGTTAGAGGGAAGCATTTGATACCAGAGTAGGAATCGACATCGTCAAAAACGTTCGATCGGCTTAACAAGGCGTCATCAAACATTTTTTACAGCGGGCCGAATAACTGACAAGATAATGAGCGCGGGCGGCGTAATCATTCTTACAATACTGGCAAACCAAAATGATATCCCTGGGAACAAATACAAAAGTAAGTTTCGTATGCCTTGTTAAGCATGGGTGTGTGTGTGTGTGTAGTGCACAAAAGCAAAGTCAAGCAACATGTTTATTTGCAGCAACAGTCATCAAAGAAAGTGGTGCTAGCCGAGTATACTTGCATCAGAAGAATTGTTCGTATAATCAGACCACAAAAAATACATTAAAAATGCTTTGTGATATTTATGGAACTGAAGTTTGACTAGCAAATTATCGTCAACCTTTTGCTTTAAGCTACCTCATTCAAACAAGAGTAACGCTCTCATGCAGCCATCATTGCATACTTTTTCGATGTGCTAACTTTACAAACTTCATGTTGGATAATGCGTGTTCACTCTCACATGCACCCATTTATACATATATATATATATATATATATATATATATATATATATATATATATATATATACTGGTGTGTGTGTGTGTGTGACACAAGGCTTTAGAGGTTAGAGCAAAGCGATTCCACCGCAGTCAAATAACATACAATGTTGGAACTGGATAACGTTACTATTTAGATGCAATCACCAGTGCTAAAATGTGTGAACCTCGAAAATTTACTCTTCCAGAATAAGTTCGCGTCAATGGCTTCAATTCGTTTCAAATGGCCAGCAGGTAAAACTTCTGATTGAAGTACAAAAACGAAGTGCCGTATATTACCGTGTATAAGCAAAGGAATTTTGAACAATTTTTCATAACTCTAATGGGGGGGTCGGCTTATACAAAGATTATGCGCAATTTGAAAAAACCACATGCCAAATCCAGGAATTCACTGCCCTTATCTTGGCTTAGCACCACTAGCACCGCTAGTGCCAGACGGTATGCCAGGCGGGGATTTGAAGTGCCTATAGGTAGACATAGTATGTTTGTGTCGAAAATGCTAGATATGTTGCACATTTGACTTTCGTGACGGATAACAGTAACGGAAACATACTGATTATACAGAATCGAACAACAGCACAAACACCACCATTGGAAAAAGACATGACAGAACGGCATGTACCGGTAGATTTTATAGGCTCAGAAATCCAAACGCCGCACAATGGTGTTAAAATTACTCGAATCCTTCGAAATTAGAATCCGAGTTAGAATCTCCACCCAGTTTCTGATACTGATCGTCTGTCACTGGGACATCAGGGTGAATACCGTCGTCTTCATCTTCACTGCTCTCCTCATTTTCGTCTTCCTCAAAAAGGGCATGCTCGTCACTTCCCTCTTTAGCACTACTGATACAACACTTTTTGAATGATCGTACAATAATTTCTGATGGAATATCCAATCTCGCTTCTTTCGCCCACTCTGCAATTTTAACAATGTCAAACTTTTTACATTGCCAACCTTCGTCAGTGTTAAATAAGACGATGCTATCTCTTCATTCCACCTGACCCAAAGTCTATCTTTAAATGGCTTATTGAGACAGACATTCAGTGGCTGCAATATTGATGTAAGTCCACCGGGAATTACAGGCACGGAGGATTTCAGTTCACGGAATCGCTTCTACTCAGTCCGGTGTGCCCTAAAGTTATCCCAAAGCAACATAGATGGTTTCTCTAAAAGGGCACTGGTTCGCTTCCCCTAAACTGTATTCAACCAGTCTATAGTGTCACTCTCGTCTAGTCAGCATTTCGCGTGATCGCACGCAAAACAGGCTGATTAGGAATTTCGCTCCTTTTTAGGCAGTGTCTTACGCTTGCAAATAATGAAAGGTGATAGACGGGTACCATCCGCCACACACCCTAAAACTACTGTGAACCGTGTCTTCTCGTGTTTCGTTGTCTTTACAAAAGCTGCCTTAGCACCTTTCGGTTCCTACCTTACGATTTGAAGGCATATCAAAGCACACGGGCGTCTCGTCCATATTTTCTATTTGAGACGGTTCGAAGTTGTATTGCTTTCTCAGCTGAATTATGAACCTTTGAAAAGATGCAACGTTACTGTCCAATTCTTTCGGCAGTTTCTGGGCTAGTTTTGTGCGGGTCTGTAGACATTTGTCCAATCGGTTCATAAAACAATTGTACCATCCGGAGGAAGCAAAAAATTCACCGGTTTCGATGGTTGGAATTCCGAACCTTAACATTGTAAGCGCTGTGATGCAGTGGTTCGTTCGCATAACAAGTAACTCGCTGTGCCGTGATTCTATAACCCACTGAGCTAACTTTTCCTCCAGTGCAGGAAACATGGTTGTTCTACAGCGTACTGCTCTCTTGCTTACAGGCATTGGTGACAACTCTGACTTTTGCTATCGCCATTCACTCACTTCCTTTTCATTCAACGTGAAATGGTGTGCAGCCATACAGTCATTAGATCGCTCGGCAAAAGCGACAAGTTTCGACCTAAAGCCATCAGCATATGCACATCACTTCCGGCCAGACGCTTTTTCATGTTTGCACGGCTTTGGAAGATCGCATGAAATGTGGGCACATTCCCTCTCAGCTGGATTGCGTGGCGCCACGTTAGCGTTATTTTGGTTAGCGAATCGCTGCGGTTATGCTTCATGCTACGCTAGTCAATCTGATACATTAGAAGTACGTCATCCCACACCATTGATCGTGTACTTCCCTCTCACCGGCTACTGCACTGCGATTCAGATGCATGAGGCTCCCGACTATGCCAGGCGGTGTCTGACGTAATCTTTCACCTTACCCCATATTGTCGGTTGTTTGATCTGTTTCGAGTGACGACATCTAATCAATACACTGTCCAGTGCGGTTAAACTTTTTGGTCCAATGGTTCTAAGCCCCATTAACCGCGACCATAGCACATTAGGTCTCCATAACTGACCAATAGTAGAGCAGCATTCGCTTGAGCACAATCAAATGAGAGCAGGTAGCGATGATATCAAAAGCGTGCGAAATCATTTCGTTTCTCCTTTTGATGATTTGTTTGGGGTCTGCTAATATACGGACTTATGATTGTTGACAAATTTGACTTTGCTTATACACGCATCGGCTTATACACGGCAATATAAATTACTTTATTAGGCGACGTATTGTATGATACGGGCATCAAGGCGGCTGGCCAACTGGCAATTGCGGTGCAGAGTTGTGAGGTGTACACTGACGCATGAATGAATAGTTTTCATGCGTACTCACGCCCATCAGAGCGAAAAGAGGTCAATGACAGTGCGGTGTCTCTTGGAACAGCCATGAGCTCGCCCACGCAAGTGTTCAAACACCGTAAGGTTCAAACAACACGACATGCAGTGT